GACTGGGCCCCGCCCCACCCTCAGTCTCCCCACCAGAAGTATTCCCTGTCTCAGCCCCGCACACCCGGGGTGCCCAGGTATGCCCTGGTCTCCCGGCAGGGGCGAGGTCAGCCTCCACCGAGGGGTGCACCCATCACAGGGCGCCTGCGCGCCAGCCCTTACCGTCTTGGCGGTGTCCTCAAAGACCTCGCGGGCCTCCTCAAATGAGCACGTCTCCTCCATACACTCTCTCTCCAGGTTCCCTTTCTTCATCTCTTCCCAAAACGAGTTGGCCCTGCGGACCCTCCCCAGGACGCTGCTGGCATGCTCCGGGGGAAGGAACACTAGCAGACAGGCAGGGACACCAAGCGGAGAGGGCCTCAGCCGCCCGCCCGCCCTTCCCCATCCTGCGGCGTCCGCTCACCCCCGCGCTGCAAAAGGCCCCTTGCTCGCGCCCCGAGCCAGCCCAGGATGGGACCCCGCCTGTTCCAGGCCCCGGGCTCCCCTCCGTGTGCAAGTCCGCTTGCTCCTTCCCCTTGCCACCTCCCGGGGCCTCACTGGCAGCTCCGCGCTGGCCCCCCAAGCCCTCCCTGGACTCTCGATTCCCAGAGGTCCTGGGGCCACCCTCCTGTGCCCCGCCCGGCCCCCACCCTTCCCGCTCTCAGCTCTCCGAAGGGGTGAGCTGTGGCGCTGTTATGATCGTGCTCTACGACCAAAATAGGCTTTTCATCAAGGCCCAGGACCACACACGAAAACATGGCTTTGAAGAAACAGTTCTTATTACAAAGTTTTGTACTTGATTTCTGTTCTGCTTCACTTAAGAATCCCACTGCATTGATTTGCAGCTCTCAGATGAATCCCCACCCGCCCGCTGAATGGTCTTGGGTCCGAGCATCTCGGAACCCCTCCTCTGGCTGCGCCCGCCCTGCCCTCTCTCCACCGTGCACCAGGACCTCCCGGACCCTCCTCCACCTGCGCCCACGTCTCCGGCTGCGCTCTCGGTCTCTCACCACCTTCTCTCTCTCCACCATGGACCAGGACCCCCGACTCCTCCTCAGCCCCACACCCGCTCTCTGCCTTCCTTCTTGCCTCGCCCTCCGAGTTGCTCTTCCCGGTTGCGACCTGCATTCTGAGTTCCGCCCCCGCCCTCGATGGTGAGCCCTCAGCTCCCCCGTGCAGGACTAGACTTGGGACCCGGGAGCCAGGCGGTCTCGGTTCAGATACAGTTCACTTGCCCACTGTCGGCAGGTGAGAATTACGACACGTGTGTCTCAGTTGTCTCAGTGTTCACGTTGGTACACACTAGGTGTTGCTATATACTAGGTTTCTCTCTTCTCACAGCCTCCCCGTCCCCCACACACCAGGTGCCCTTTGCCTGCCCCGCGGGCCCTGTCCACCCCCCTCCATCCAGGACGCAAACAGCTGCCGGGCCCCTGCCCACCCCTGCCCACCCCCAGGCCCTGCTCCTCTGGCCTCCTCCGGCCTTTCTGGAAGGTGCAGAAGCCCCCCTCTGTCCAGCCTTGAATCAGGCAGCCCCTTCCCCTGGCCAAGCCGGCCTAAGGGTGGAGGCGCCGGCTTGAACCTCATTCTCTTTCGGCCCTGGAAGCTCCTCCCTGCCTGTGACCGCCCCCCCCCCCCCGCCCCCGCCACTGGGCTCGCTCTGGCCGTGGAGGGGCACTTCTCTCCATCTCTCTCGGTCTCTCCCTCTTTCCCTGTTCACGGCTTCTGTGTGTGACCCGGCCTGCCATCTGGCTCCCCATCCACAGGGAAGGAGGCCACCAGGCCCAGCCATGTCACACCAGGAGATGGGCACCCACTCTCCACCCTGTGGAGGTGTGAGGGCAGCACCCTGGTTCCCACTGTCCCCCCTCTTCCCTGGGGGTCACCTCTGTAGTCTGTAGGGCGAGGGCACTTACCACTGTCCCCCAGGAGCAGGAGGCAGGTCAGCGAGGTGCTGAGCAGGACAAGGCACCGTGGGCCCGCCATGGTGTGGCCAAGAACGGCGTGTCTGTCCCGCCGTGACAGGCCTCCAGGGCAAGGTTCGCGCACCCTGGCCCCGGGCGGCTGGTCGACCTTCTCTTATCACCGCCTCCTGATTGGAGCCTGGGCCGCTGAGGGGCCGGAGGCCAGTGACCTCGCGGGGGCAGGGCCACCCTGCAGGTGCAGCCCTGGGGGGGCTGGGGTGGCCCTGGCATCATTGGGCACTCGGTCTGAGGGGCCAGCCATGGGCACAGGGAGTTGTTAGAACAAAAGTGTCATTTTATAGTTTGTAGATGTTGCGTCTGCAGTCATTCTGTCCTTCCAGCCACGTTGTGTCTGTGGTCATTGTGTCTTTCCAGCCACGTTGTGTCTGTGGTCATTGTGTCTTTCCAGCCACGTTGTGTCTGTGGTCATTGTGTCTTTCCAGCCACGTTGTGTTTGTGGTCATTGTGTCCTTCCAGCCACGTTGTGTCTGTGGTCATTGTGTCCTTCCAGCCACGTTGTGTCTGCGGTCATTCTGTCCTTCCAGCCACGCTAAATGCTGAGTGTCCAGTCCCATCTTTTCTCCAGGACAGACTCTTAGGTCTACAGCAGGTGTCAGCCCAGGGCTGTCCGGGGCGCACATGGGGTTTGGACCCAGGGCTGTCGGCCATAGCAGCAGACCTTCTGCCCATGGCCTCTGTCTCCAGGTGGCATCAGGAGGTGCCACCAAGTGCCACCATCATAGGGGGTCCTGGTGCACTGGCTTTGCCAGCGTGAAAGGCTGGCACCACCCCGCTGAAATCCAGGGGCCCCAGGAGGCAGGGGTGTCCTGTGGCCCCTCTGGGCTGAGGGCTCCTGCCCACACTTCTGGGGGGTCTGGCCTGCCCAGTGCAGCCCGTGCCAGCCCAGGACATCTGGCTAGAGGTCGGGGAGCCCGTGCCCAGGGAGCAGCGGGCTGGCCCTCTCAGTCCTGGAGATACCCGCGGGCTGGGGGTTTCCCAGAAGGGGCTTTGCCTCGCACACCCCACTGGGGGTGGGTGGGGGCAGGGAAGTGAGCCCCCAGATCGGGGGCCTTACGGTGAGTCTCTCTCTCTCTCTCAAGCCGGTCCGGCCACCCGGGAGAGGGGGTGAGGAATATGGGGGCTCCTGGCCAGTGCACTGCATGTGAGATGTGGGAGATACACCTGCCACATCCCCCCAGCCCAAGGAGGCTCAGCCCGTGGCAGTCCAGCCACGTGGTGGGCGCGGGCCACGTGCCAGGGCCCTCGGGGGCGGTGGGGGTGTGTCACAGAGACAGGGAGAGACAGAGACAGGGACAAAGAGACAGCAGGAGACAGAGACAGGGATGGAGACACTGCCCCATATCCCACAGCGCCCACCACACCTGACATTCTGCACGTGGTGAGTGACCTCTGACACCCTTGCTCACTGGGACAGAAGCCTCAGGCTGTCTGCTTTTTGCTGCAGGGGTTTGTGGCACACGGTGGGTGCTTAACCACCCCTCACAGACCGAATGCGGCAGTGATGTCCCAAAAGTCTTCTGCTCTGGCTGGTCGTCCACAGGGTGGCCGCTGTGACATGCAGAGCCTGGCCCTTGGGGACAGGGGGTGCCCTGGGCCTGTCTCGCCGGCCTCTTTGTGTGTAGTGTTGTCTCTGGGTGCGTTCAGCATGTGGGGGAGACCAGGTCCCGGGTAAGCCCCTCCCATCTCTGGCACCCGGTGCTGGGGGTAACGTGGGAGCCTGTGGGCTCATTGGCCATGTTGGCCTTTAGGGGCTGTCCTGATGTCACCGGGCGCCCGTGCCATGGCAGCTCTACCGGGCAGGGGCCTGTGTCTCCCCCTGACAGCCAGAGAAGCCTGAGTGTGCCAGCCCATCCTCTTCTTTCCTCTCCAGGAAATGGGGCCAGCCAGCTCCTGTGCCCCGGGCGTGGGGCTCCTGGCAGCTCCTGGATTCTGCACGCAGGAAACTCCCCTCAGCACCTGCAGCCCGAGCTGTGGGGAGGACGCCAGAGGCTTGCACACTGGCTTTACTGTCCATGAGATAGCGGGCCCTCCCAGGGCCCTCATCTTACGTGCTCCAGACCATCCTGGTCACCAGCACCGAGGCCCCTGTTTCGAAGACAAGGAGCTATGGCACAGGGCAGGAGGTGGCTTGGCCAGGAGTATGAGGTGGGCCGCACTCGCCCACTGGTGGGTCTCCTTAGGTGCACAGCCGTCCGCTTGCTGAGACCCCGGCCGGCGGCCGGCTGGGCTGCCAGCGAACCTCTTGTGCAAAGGCCCAAATGGTGAGCACGTCCGGCTCCAGGGGCAGATAGTCTCTTTGGCCGGACCATCTCTGTCCGAGGATGCCGTGTAAGGAACGGGCATGTCCCAGGACACTTGGACACAACCAGGTGGCCTGGTTCACTCTACACTAAATATGGCTTGATCCCTCAGCCCAGCAAGTCCGGCGCCAAATGCACCCGTGTGGAGCACTGTTGGCGTTCCAGGCTTGGGGCAACCAGTCTGCCCCCTCCACCCGCGGATGTGTCTGGTGGGGGGCAGGGCCCTTACCTGCCTTGCCATGTTTAGGGGGGCCCCACTTCTGTGTCATCTCCCTCCCCCACCAGACAGCTTGTTTCTCCCTCCTCCATGGCCTGTGTGGCTTTAGGCCGAGCGGGCCCCACGATCACCTGAGGGATCTGATAAAAATGTCACTCACTGGGTCCTTCCCCGGTCCCACTGATGCGGCAGGACTGAGGAAGCTGGTGGCTCTCAGGCAGGGCTTCCCTGGGACCCTCGTTGAGGACCGTTGTTGACTGGGACCTTGGCGGGAAGAGGATGCCCGGTTCTGTAGGGTTTGGGGAACCACAGCCTCCAAAACCTGCCCACGTGCTCTTGGTTTTGGAAAACAGCCTCAGTGGAGGAAGGCCCATCTCTGGGGTGCTGTGAGCATGAGAGAAAGCGTGGCTCCAGGACAAGTAGGGCCTCAACAGGGTGAGGACGGGCGCTCCAGGATGGCAGGAGGGCGCTCCAGAGGTGTGCTCAACGGTGGGCCAGTGACAAACGCCATATGGAGGGTGACAGCCTCACATTTTATGGTCAAAGCTACATACACAGAAAGATCTGGAAGGATAGTCCCCAGGATGAATGGATGATGCTTCCCGTGTAGGTGAAATGAGGGTGACATGCTTGTGCAAGAAGACAGGAATGGAACGTAAAGATGTGAGCACGCAAGTGTGAGCACGCCAACGTGTGGACACAGGTGTGTGTGCCAGTGTGAGCACGCAAGTGTAAGCACGCCGATGTGTGGATGCAGGTGTGTGTGTGCCGATGTGTAGGCACCAATGTATGCATGCCGACGTGCACACGCACCACCACAACGGCCATCAGGGGAGCACGGTCCCCTGGGAAACAGTGTGTCCCCTCCCTGGCAGGCACATCGGTGCTCCCCCCGGGCACATCCTGCTCAGCCAGCTTTGTACCCCCTTCCCCCACTCCAGAGGTGCAGGGTGTTTCTGGAACAGAGCAGGGACGAGTGGCAGCTTTATTAGGGTGGCCCTGCACTGAGGCTAGGGCAGTGGGGCCCGGAGGAGGCCTCCCGAGGTTGGGCTCTGGCTCATGAGCCTGCGCAGCCACTCGATGTACTGGGAGACCCTGGTGTACACCCCGAAGTGACCTTCGGCCGCACAGCCCTCCCCCCAGCTGACGATCCCCGTCAGGTACCAGGTGCCCTGGAACTTGGTGGCGTGCGGGCCCCCGCTGTCCCCCTTGCAGGCATCCTTGCTCCCGTCTAGGTAGCCGGCGCAGAACATGTTCTCGGTGATTGCCGGAGAGCCCGCCTTCCTGTGTGACTGCTCCTGGCAGTCCTGGGTCATCACCCGGGGCACGTCGATGGCCATGAGCTCAAGGGCCGTGATGCCCCTGTCCAGCAGCTGGCCCCAGCCGCTGACGGTGGAGAAGCGGATGAAGGCCAGCGTCCTCTCGGAGAAGGCCTTCTCGGGCAGACACAGGGGCACGACGTGGTTGGTGAAGGCCACGGGCGTCCGCAGGCGCAGCAGGGCGATGTCATGGTTCGTCTTGCGGGGGATGTACTTGTCGGGGATGATGATCTGGGCGACGTGCCGCTCCTGCTCCTCGCCCTCCTCCTTGCGGAGATCGTGCTCGCCTGCAGGGGACCGGCACCGCTCATACCCCGCCCCTCAGCCTGCTTCTGGGGCAGGAGGGGCCCTGTGTTCCGTCCAAGGCTGGCCGGAGCGGCACCCCCAGGCAGCCACCGCAGGGCTCCTCGTGGAGTGTGAATCAGGGTGAATCTGGATGAATCTGGGGGTGCTGAGGGCACGTGAAGAGGGGTGGTGGATCCCCCCAGTTCTTCCGAGACCCTCCCTGGGGGTGCTCGGCGTCCCATCACCCACCAGGCAACCCTGGGGCTCTTGGCCCAAGTGAGAAGGGAGTAGAGCAGAGCAACACCTCCGTGACTTTCTGTGGGTGGAGAGGCCGGGGGGCCGTGGCCACACTGGGACCCTGCGGCACCGGGGTCCGCCCGGACATTGCCCACTTCTCTGTTTGGAGGCACTCGTCTCGTGGCAGGTCTCACAAGCCACGCTCAGCAGGTGGAGGAGCCACAAAACTCACCCAGCACCACCGTCAGGTTCTCCCAGTTCCTGATTCTGTCGAAGCAGTGGGCTGCAGAGACCAACCAGGCAGTGTCGAGCAGGGCGCCCCCACACACCAGCACGCCGTCCAGCTTCAGTGCAGCCTGGCCGGGCACAGCAGAGTTCGCGTCACCCCTCCGTGGGGAGCGCCTTTCCCGTGCACCGAGGGCCCTCGCGGCCCGTCTCCCCAGCCAGCTAAGGCAACAGGGGGCTTGCGGGTACTGGCCCGACCAGGGGGCGTGGGTGCCAGTTCCCCTGCGCATCCCTGGCACCACCAGCAGGAGCTGGCAAGACTGGTCCACAAAGACGGGCCAAGCATAGCGGGGAAGAGGGCATGTGCCGCGGCACCGGGCACAATTCTTGGTGCACAGCGGGCCCCATAAATGCTTCCTTTTCTTCTCCCTAAAAGCAAGGAGGGTGCTGAGCGGGTCCTGAGTGCAGCTTGGGTGCAGGCCTTTTCCCCGCAGTGGTTTTCCCACCGCGGGCAGGCGGAAGGAGCTGATGTTGGCTCTGCAGCCGCAGCCACAAGAGGAGGCCTGGGGTAGTGAGTGGTTCGGCTGGATTGGAGCCTGAATCTCAGTGGGCCTCAGTTTCCCCACCTCTCTCCTGGGGTTGAGGACCTGGGGGCGCGTGCATGCTGCAGCCCCCTCCCCCTGCACAGAGCCCTCCCGGGTGCTGTCTGCTGTAAACAACAGAGACCCACCCGTGCGGTCCCTCCGCCGCACACACTGCCAGTTCTGGGCACTCTGGCGAACACACCAGTCCCGCTAGGATGCGTCTAGCTTACGTTATCCTCGGAACACCAAAACCCCGGGTCCTGCCAGCTGAGGAGTGGGCCTGGGACCGCACAGGTGCCACGCAGGCCCCGACCGCCTGCTCCCACCTGTGGCAGGTGGGATGGGGCAGGGCCGGGCCGGTGGGAGGGGCCACCGGCTCAGCCAAAAATGCCGCTTCTGGTCTGCTCGCGGCCAAATGGCAGCAAAGCTGGAGCACTGGGGCTGCCCCGACCCAGAGTCAGGCCCAGGGGGACTGGTGAGCCACCATCATCCCTTCCAAGGCTCTTGTGTGGTAACAACTCTGAACAGTCCAACTCGGGTGTACACGTGCAGGGCCCGGAGGACCACCGGGTCCGGCTCTGAAACCCGAGTGCACGCGTGCTGCTCTTGTGAGAGGTGGATTTTGGCCCAGTGGGTCTGGGGGCCTGAGACTCCACATTTCCAACAGGAACCAGGCTCACAGGCTGCCCCACACACCTGAGCACTTGCAGGGACAGCCTGCCTTGCCTCCGTTTCCAGGGGCAGTTAGTGGCGGGTTCAAATCCTGCCTTTGCCATCTGCCACCAGTGGCCTGGGCTCCCCCATCTGTGGAGGGGAGAGAGGCAGCAGCCCCGAGGAGGAGACGGGAAGAGACGGGAGGGGAGAGCCAGAAGGCAGGTGCTGCTGGGGGTGCTGACACCCGGACTGACGGACGGAGGTGAGCGCGCAGGCGTGGGCTTCGGAGCAAAGTGGAAGGAGACGAGGGGCCGGGGTCCCGCGTCCGACCTCCTGCTTTCCCTCCAGGGGCCCTGGAGCCTCACCTGCCAGGGACATTCTCCTTTGGGGCACACCTTGCCACCCACAATTCGGCCTTGGGGGTCGCGGCCATTTCTCTTTTCCAGAACAGGTATTCTTCCACACGGATACTCCACTGTGGGAAACAGGTCATCAGGCCGCGGGGTCCGTGCTGGAGGGACAGCTGCTGAGGGACAGGCTCCACGGCCTGCAGGCACGCCCTTGGCAGGGCAGGCCCACCCCTGTGGGAGCTGCTTCTGCAGGGACAGAGGGCCTCCCTGTTGAAACTGGGTTCTGCCAGTCGCCCCAGGGGAGCGACGTGCTGCCTGAGGAGGTGGACGCTTGTCTAAAGGCTGACCAGACCTTGGGCCACAGCACTTCCACCCGGCTCCTCTGGTTTCCGCAGTAAAGTCCCCGGGCCCGGAGACACCGCTTAGAGGTGGGGGTTGAGCTTCAGGCACTAGCGGGGATGGGACCCACTTCACTCTGCACAGACAGGCCTGGGCACCTGAGCTGCTGGGACTGTGTTAGTTCGAGACCGGGTTGGGGAAAATTTACATTTTCCTCAAAGTGCTCTCCTTTTAAAAAAAGATGTGGTTGGGGTGCCTGGGTGGCTCAGTCGGTTGACTGTCCGACTTCGGCTCAGGTCATGATCTCGCGGTCCTTGATTTCGAGCCCCGCGTCGGGCTCTGTGCTGACTGCTCAGAGCCTGGAGCCTGTTTCAGATTCTGTGTCTCCCTCTCTCTGACCCTGCCCCGTTCATGCTCTGTTTCTGTCTCCAAAATAAATAAACGTTAAAAAAAAAAAAAAGACGTGGCATCCAGACTGTGCCACAGTCAGCGTAGACCCCACGTGTGGCCATGGGGTGCCCCACAGGACAGCAGTGGGGCGGGCAGGGACTCCCTTGGCTCCTCTGGACCTGCCTTGGACAGGCAGGTTGACCAGCCACTCTGGAGCGGCTCCTGCTGTGGCCTGTTCTCGAGTGGGCAAGGCGTGGTCAGCGTGTAGTAGGTGTTCAGTGAGTGATACTCACCCTTGTCATCTGTCAACCATACAGGAATGGGTGGCTGCTCGTTGGGCACAAAACAGAGCACAGCCCCCGGAGCTGGCCCCTGAGGACCGTTACCTGTGGGAGCGCAGGACACCCCATCGTCTTGGAGCGCGTACCCCTCGTGGCACCGGCAAGAGCGGCTGGTCTCTGCATGGTCGCTGCAGTACTGCTCACAGCCTCCGTTCTCGTTCATACAGATCAGCTGGTCCTTCTTGTCTGAGGACAGGAAGGGGACAGACTGAGAGGGGCCTGTGCTAGTCAGGGAGAGCCAGCCCTCATTCTGCATGAAAACGGTGCTTAGCTGTTGGCTGCAGAGACAGCCAGGTCCCAGCCTGCTCTGGATCGATCCGGAAGGGTGACCTGGGGTTGTGTGCGGTCTCACGTCTGAGCAGCTTAGCCAGTTGGGACATAGGGCTGACACATGGGGCCTCTGTGCTCCCCTCCCAGGAGCCGGTGGGAGCCGGGGAGGGCCTGGGGACAGTAAAAGTGTTCACCGCAATTGGATACCTGCTGGCAAGAGGCCAGGCAGATGAGATGGTTCCATAGCCAGGCCCAGGAGCCCCAGTGAACTGGCGGGGGCTGACCACTGGCTCGGACAGATGGAGATAAGGAACATTCACCCTCTCTGAAGGGCAGTGCTAGGATGTGGGAGATGGGGTTAGCTCTCTGTGCCAGTTGAGGGCCCCCAGCAGGAAGGCCTGGCCTGGAAGTGAAGTCACACCAGAGCTCCTGAGCACCATGGTCCTGGAGGATTCACACCAGGGCTCCTGAGCATGAAGGGCTGGGCAAGGACACTGAGGCTTTGTAGCCCCAGATAACTGGCAAGAAGCCTCTTCCTTAGTCTTTCCTTTACTCTCCCTGGTTTGCTTAGAGCAGAAGGTGGCTGTGGCCCACAAGAGCTCCTTGAATATCAGAGTGTACACATGTGGCAAAGGATTGAAGTTACCCAAAGAGAGATTTGCCTTTGCCCTCAGCTCCTGGGAGGTGACCGCCACACCCTTGCTGATTAAGTTGGACACTTTTAATTTAATTCCATCTGTCTGATAAGAATGATGTTTCCTTGGGGGCCTTTGGCCACACTGGATGGTGTAACAATGTGATTCATGGTGGGGTATCACCTCGACCTCTGGAGGGGCTGGAGACTAAGGCCAGCCACGTGGGAGGTCAGCCATGTGTACATGACTGAGCCCCAAGAAGACCCCTGGACGTGGAGGCTCAGTGTGATACTCCCTAAGTCTCGTCACACCTTGTTCTTGGAGAAAGGAAGACTGTCTGTAAGACCCCACTGGTTGAGGACACCTGGAAGCTCACACTGGTCTCCGTGCTGACTTCAATCTGTAGCCTTCCACCGTAACTTTGAGTATGTTGGCCTTCAGAGAGTGCTATGGGTCTTCCCAGCCAATTACTGACCCTGAGACGGCCCAAGGAACCCCTCAACCTCGCAGTGTTTTAACATTAGAATGGTGAAAAAATAGTTCACACTTTCGTAATAGCAAGTAGGGAAGATGAAGTTTACTCACTGTCTCAGTGGGATGCTGGGCAGTGATAACATGCCCTCCCCGGGGCCCCGTCCAGGTGTATCCGAATTCCCCAGCACTGGGAGCCCAAGGGGTTTGTATTTTCCAGAAGCAGACAAGGGGCGATCAAGAATTAGCACCCGAGGGTCTCAGATCCAAGCGTCCCACGGTCACCGAGCCCATTTCCCACCGAGGCTGGGGCCCAGCCCCCGCCTGGCCCGGCCGTGCCCATCAGCCTCGTGGGGGCTCTGCCCGCAAACTGTGGGGTCCTCACTTGTCTCACAGTTCCGGCCCTCGAAATTGTCGAGACAGAAGCAGATGTAGGACTGGAGCTGGTCCTCACAGGAACCCCCGTTCTGGCACGGATTCGAGGCACATTGGTCCCCATCTGTGAAGCGACCCAGGGTCAGAGCGCTGAGGGGGAGGCCGGCGGGCAGGGGCGACCGAGGGTCAGGGCGCTGAGGGGGAGGCCAGCGGGCAGGGGCGACCCAGGTTCAGAGCACTGAGGGGGAGGCCGGAGGGCAGGGGCGACCCAGGGTCAGGGAGCTGAGGGGGAGGCTGGCCAGGGGCGAAATGGGCCGTTCACCTACTCACCGTTGTAAGAAACCCAGAACTGCTTCTGAGGGGACAAAGAGGAAGCCGCATGAGACACACATTGACAAATATCTGTGGTCCCCACAGAATGAACGGGGGACTTGGGGTGAAGTGAGGTGGTCTGGGGGCTTCTGGCCTGGTGCCCTTTGCAGTGGGCTCCGGAAGCCAGACTTTTCCTCTGGAGAAGAGGTGAGTTCACCCAGGGCGAGGGGGTGTTTCCTAATCCTGCCTCTCCACCCCAGATGGCCAAGGCCACCAGAGGTCACAAATTTCCCTGTCCTGATTCAGAATTCCAGAGTTTCTGCCCCACTTCCGCCACCTCCAAGATGTAACCCTGGGACAAGACACGTGCTCTCTGAGCCTCCGTTTCCTTCTCTGGTGATGGGGGACCATCCACACACGGGGCGACAGGAGGAAAAGGTGCTAATGGATGCAAGGGCTCCAATAATACGGATTCCTGAGGAATGTTCTGGGCAAGCAAACTGAAACTCACAGGATCACTCTAAGAATAAAATAAGACAACTGTGGGAAATGCCTCGAAAACCCAAGTGGGGCACAAATGCAGGAAATGACCATCCTCACTGTACCTGGAAAAGGTCATGTGAGCCTCCACCTCAAATAGTCCTACTTCCTGTTTGGTGTGAGGTGTCCTGTGAGTGTGAGGCGTGTGTCCTGTGAGAATGAGGCAGGTGTCCTTTGAACACAAAGTGTGTGTCCTGTGAGTGTGAGCTGAGTGTCCTGTGAGTGTGAGGCGAGTGTTCTGTGTGAGGTGAGTGTACTGTGAGCGTGAGACGATCCTTGAGGAGAAGTGTGGGTTTGTCCCCTCATAGCCACACCCCGAGTGGAGCGGGACAGCGTGGACACTCGCCTTTCCCAGCGTGCAAACAGCCGTGGGGCGGCTCTCTGCAGCGGCCCCGACACGTTTGCTCTCTGAAGCCGCGTCGAGGTGTCCGCCCGCATCTGCGGGGGCTGCTGGGAGAGGCCCAGGCCAGCGTCCCCGCCGTCTGCTCCATCAGCAGCCCCTGCACGGAGCTCGGGCCGCTTTGGGGGCGGGGGGGTCGGGGGCGGGCAGCATCCATGGGAAGGCCGGGCCCCCCCCCCGGGGCCTGCTTTTCAAAGCGCATTTTCCGGCTGGAAATGAGGGCCCCGCGCAGAGAGGCGCCGTCCATGGGCGCTGCAGGGGCCCCGAGAGCCGTTCTTGTGGGAACGTGACCCTGACACGGTGCGCGGGGCCCTCGACCTCCGAGTAGGGAGAAGAACCGACGCCGGGCAGCGCGGAGGGCGCCCCCTGGGGGCGGACTCACCGTCCTCTCGGCGTTCTGGAAGATCTCTCGGGCCTCCTCAAAGGAGCACCGCTCCTCTCCGCACTCCCGCTCCAGGGAGCCGGACCTCAGCTCCTCCAGGAACGAGTTGGCGCGCCGGTGCCTGCGCAGGACGCCGTGGGCCTCCTCCTGGGTGAGGAAGACTGAGGGACCGTCCGTGAGCCCTTGGCCACTGGCCACGCCCAGACGGCGCCGACGCACGGAACCTTCGCGTCCCTCCGAGTAAGGCAACGGGAAACACGCGGCTGTGGGGGGTTGCTCCGGGCCCGGCCGCCTCACTTGTAGGATTTATCCCAAGGACGTCCTCAGAGGCGGCCACTCGAACCCGGCCACAAGGACAGCCTGGAGACAGCAGGCAGAGCCACTGCGTGAAGGTGTCCTCGTTCGCGTGAAGTACACGCTTAAGAAGATACAATATAAGTGAAACCAGAAGATGATACGATAATCTGAACTGTGTAATCCCTTTTGTAAATAAGATGTACATATGCACATACATATGCTTATGTAACTCATGGGAGGAGCCTACATAGAAAATGAACTCTGAGGATTAAAAGTTACTCTGTTGCAAAGCGTCCAGTCAACTTCCATAATCAAAAGGCCATGGGCTGCGTCCCTGCACCGGGACGTTCACCGAAAGTGCTAGGATAAAGGTGACGCAGGGGCCTGGGGGGTGGGGGGGCGGGTGACAGAGAGGTGAGCAGCAGGGGAGGATGGGGCGGCAGGAGGGGGAGGGGCAGCTCCCGGGCCGCCCAGGCGGAGGGAGACCCCATGTGTTCTTCACAGTGACAGTGTCTCGCCTCTGTATTCCTGCGGAGCCCCTGGTCTGGAGGGAGAGGTCGAGGGAACCCTCAAATGGAGGGGCGGGCGGAGACCTGCCTGGGTGACCCTCAGGGGGCAGCAGATGTGAACCAAAGCTCTCGGGGAACCAGTTACCTCTGGTGGTTACCGGGGGAATCTGGCCACCGCCGCGTCTTCCCGCCCTCCCACCCCGCTGTCTTTCCCAGGAGCCCGCGCTGTCCCCTGGGCTCCTGCAGGAATCTGGCCGGCGCCCATGCCATCGCAGGCTGGGTGTTTGGGGGGGGGGGGGCAGTGTCTGCTGTCTCCACCACGGCCACCCCGCGGTAGTGACAAGTCACAAGGAGGACAGCTTATAGTGTCCCGCTGTCCTCCTAGCTAGGCCCGTTGGCGCAGTAGTGGCAGGGAGGGTGGCTGCGGTCACAGAAATGTGCAGTCCAGGGTCCCCACCCTGTCCCTGGTGCTGGCCAACCAAGAACGGGAGGGGACAGACATACCCCCTCGCACTCAAGCCCTGACTCTGCGTGCAGATCACATGGGAGCTGCCAGCAAGCACCCCAGGGGGACAGGAGTGCCCACCAGAAAGGTGGTCACCAACCTCCCGCAGCCCCTCACACAGCGGTTACTGGGGACCCTATACCTTGACATACCTGCGGCCAGAGATGCCTGCAGGCCGAGCAGAGAGCAGAGGAGGGCCGGCCCGCGGGACCCAGACACCATGGCGAGGCCTGTGTCACACGGTCTGTTGACATTCCAGGCGTGCTGGGAAGGCGGGCAAAGTCCCAGCCTCCAAGCTGGGACGGAGGGCGGGGAGGGAGGCCTGGCCTCCCAAACCCAGGGGCGGGGCGTGCGGGGGACGCTGGGGACAGGAAGACACTGTCTGTACTCACCACACAGCTGTGACCGCGAAGTAGGGGTTCCCTCTCGGAAGTGTCTGTGTCGGGATGTGTACCTGGCGCGTGCGCCTCAAATGCGGTTGAGAATCTGAAGCCCTGGGGACTTAGGGCCGCAGTTGGGAAACAGATCCAAGCTGGTGGTAGGTGTGCCTGCAGAGTAACTCTGGGTACAGGAGAGTGGATCTTCGGTGTGGGTGGAGACCCACACAGGGCCTCATTGCCCTGGGGCACCTGCCCCAAGCTGAACCCCCTGCTCTGTGTCCCTCCGGGCCCTCTTGGGCCCAGGCCGCAAGCCGCGGTGACCAACCGTCTTGGTTGCCTGGCTTCTGTGCTGACCTGGACCATCCTGGGCCCTCGGACATCGTCAGTCACCCCAACAAGGCTCACGTGGGCGTCCAGCCTCCAGTGGGGTCTGGCCTCGACCCTCTGAAATATCCTTTCTGCAAATGGTGGAGACTGGGGATGCCCGCTCTGCTCCTCTCCTGTGCGTGGGAGCCACACGGCCCAGCTGTTGCAGGTGGGGTCCCAGCTCCACTCCCCAAGTGGGAGAGTCAGTCTCTGCAGAGAACATGGTTTGTTGATCACCTCAGGTGTTACTAATGGTTACGATTGCTGGCTGCTTGGGAGTCTGTTGTTGGTGGGGGGGGACCCCCCCACTTTCTGCCGCACCTTCTGGGGATTCTCTGGATGGCCTGGCAGTCCTGGCTCCGTTTCCTCCCAGCTTGGGGAGAAGCGTTTCAGCCTTGAGCTTCTGCCCCTAAATCTGGCGAACGTCTTGCCCGAGCAGGTGGAGGTGCTGTCGGTCCCGTGTCGGTCCACACGCAGCACCCGTGAGCCCTGCTCTCGAAGGCTGCAGGGGAGCCGCCCTTGAGCTCAGCACTTTCCTGACTCCTGGTGGCCCCATGACAGGGCTGCACGCGTGGGGCTTACCTTACCGGAAATCTATCCTGTGCCGGCTCTGGAGGCCACAGGCCCTTGGGCACGGTGTCTGTGCAGGGCCCTGCTGTCTCTGGAGGCTCCGGGGGGAGGGCCTGCCTGCCCCTTCCCGCTGGGGAGTTCTGGGGGCCTCTGTGCCCCACCTGAAGTCGGCCTGGGTGTGTGTCCCAATCTAACTCTCCTTACAGAGACACTACCCGTGGGTCAGGGCCCCCACTCCAGTGTGACTCATCATAACCAATTCTACCGGCAAGGGTCCTGCTTCTGAGCAAGACTGCATCCTGGGGACACCGTCAGCAGGTGCCTATGCTTCCCCTTGAGCAGGGCCGCGGCTGGGCTGTTCTCAGAGCAGTGCGAGGAGTGTCTGGCCGTGGACTCAGTGGGCGACTGGCCAGGAGGCGTGGGGAAGGGATGCTCCTCCTCCAACTGCCCAAAGCTGCGGGGAAATGGGATTCCCATGGGTGAGCTGCCAGGCAGCCTGGATTTGGGACATGTGCTGGACTGAAGCCTTCGAGTCCCAGGGTCCTCTGGGGAGGTGGGGGACAGCACAGGCCAGTGGGGTCATGGCTGAGGCACCTCTTCCCCACTGACGCTTCCAAGTGGCTTTTTCTTCATGAAAGACCACCAAGCACGGTACCGAGCAGTCCTACCCCAGACCCTGGGCCAGGAGGGGCGAGGGGAGGAGGACAGGGTGGCTGAGTGCAGAGGGCCAGCCTGCGTAGCCCCGTGTGAACAGCGGCCCCCTCCCCGACCCTCCGCTCATGGCCACGCCTTCCGCTTGGACTGGGGGACAGGCGCTCCAGTGGCCAACGCCAACAGTGTACCTGCCTCTGGGGCACAGCCTTCAGGTCTGTGGGAGGGGCTCCCAGGAGGTCAGGGTTTGTTAGTCTCTGTTCTTGTCTTTTCTTCCAGCCCTTGTGTGATCTTGTTTGATGGTGTCTTTCAGGAATTATGTGATGCATCCGATTTGATCCCCTCCTGGTAGGTCAGCCTAGCACGATTCCAGCGTCGTGGGAGAGAGTGGCTCCCGGCTGCTCTTCCGGATTCCTGCTTCCGCCCGTCACACTTCCCTCCCCACCACATCCCTTCCGCCACCGGACCCCAATGTCCCAGCACTGGGAGTCTGCATTTCTTTTGTTACCTTCACAGTGTTGACACAATACGCTTACTTTATTTCCATCATTTTCTGACAAAGGGAAGCATAGGGGACACATTCTGGGTCCTGCTCGCCACCTGCCTCCCCTGTAACGGTGCTTGCAGTGCTGCGTGTAGCTGAGTGCGATAAGCAGAATTCTGGGCTTTTTACAGATGAAGGCAGACAGCAAGAGGGGCTGATATTTATTCAAACTCCATCCATACAATAAAGAACTCTGATTTTTTAAATTTCATTTACATCAGCAATAAAAAAAAAGACCCCAAACCAAACAAAAAGCAATGACTGAAACACGAGGTTTTAAAGTGCCTTTATGAGGAAGAGATTACAATGGTGGGGGGGTGTTGGGCGAGGCGGCTGGGGCGGTCTCTGCACAGTCAGCGCACTGAGTAAATCGGGGGGCATTCATTGAGGAAAGCTGCTGAGTCTTGCACGGCTGTTTTCTCTAACGCACCGCAGGGGCAGCCAGGGTGGGGGCTCGCGTGTGGCCGGGAGCAGGCTGCGGTGGGCGCGGGACTCAGGGAGGGCAGTAAAGTGACGGTTTCCAGCATCGCGGAGGCCGCGTGCGTCCCTAACACGGGACACCAATGCACACACATCCACGTAAGCACACGTAGAAAAAGATCCGCCCCCACCAGATACACAAAGTGTTTCCGGAGAACAGAGTTTGTTTGAGAAACACAAAAAGGTAAACCAGAAGAGTTTTCTTTCCAGTTCTGCCTCGATTTCAGTGATGAGCTCTGCAACCTTTACGTTTCTGAGTTCAGGGGGACTTGCCCGAGCCTGGGAGGCAGCAGCGGAGGCCGGCACAGGTGCCAGGGCTGGAGCTTTCACTGAGCCCTGTGTGGGCACCGGTTCAGGTGGTACCCCGCGGAAACTGCATCTTTATGTATTCTTTAAAAACGATAAAAAATCCTAATTCAGTGAAGCTAGTTAAAAAAATCAAGTTCCCCATTTTTGTAGAAAAGAAACTAAATATTTTAAATTATAGTTTAAATTTTCTTTTGAAAATTAACCTACACAGATAAAGGACTCTCCTTGGTTTCTACTACTCCTGTTTGTAGAAACATTGCTGGATTTTATCGAGGGATGCGTTTTCAACCGTCGGTGACCAGGCCGGCCTTGGAGAGGGCTTTGGTTCCCAAGAGAGAGCCCTCAAATCTCCAGCAGTATAAACAACGCGCTGCAGTGTAAACCCCAGTAACAGAAAATAGTTTTGTATCAAATACAGTATTAAATTGTCATTTCATGTAAACACAGTGATTCTTGGTAAAGATTAGTGGCCAAAGTACCACAAAAAATGGCCATGGAATTAATCCCTGCTTTCTTGTAAAAATCAAAAAGTCCTCCACCAAGCTGTTGGGTCAGTAGGTTGGCCACTTCTTTGGGAAGCGGTCCCTCCCACAATGTGCTGATCCCTGCAGGAAGCACCAGCTCAGATGCGGCAGGAACCGAAGTGGAGTGGCCGGGACGGGCTCCCCACCGCGGCCCGGTGGAGGCGGAAGACGGCCCCGTGGCACCTGCCACATGTTTGCTCCGCTGCCCTACAGCCCTCCGTCCATCCTGGTTCTGCGGGGAAGCTCGGTGTGCCGCCATCTTCCCGTGGAGCTGACTTCTGCGCCTCCGTCAGGGGGGTCCTGGCGTGAAGGCCGGAGGACAGAATCTTCCAGAACCTTTCCTCTGCGTACCCCTGTGTCTGCACCGCCAAGTCTCGTGGGCAGCGGGCGGCTCCTCTTCCGGGTCTTGCCAGGGTCCTCCTTTCCCAGCGTCTTAGAGCACCGTCCCTCACCAAACTAAGCAAGCCCAAGCAAAGGAACACTTAGAGGTCCGCAGGCTGCCATCCTGCGTGGCCCGGCGCTACCCCTGCAGGTCTGAGAGGGGGGCCCCGCAGCTCTCGCTGCAGCTGGACGAGGCGCTCAGCAGGGCGGAGCCTGCACTGGACTCTGCGGGAAAACCAGGCGAGAACGGCTGCGGCTTCGCGTCTGCACGCCTGAGCTCGAGGCCGCGGACTCCGCGGGCTCGAGTCGCAGCCAGCACGGCACGGGGGTCTTACCTGAGCTGCTCAGGCACTGAGCCGAGCCCGACGTGCCGAGGAGTGTGGAGAGACTGCTGGCCGGCACCCAGCTCTCCTTGCTGGAGGTCAGGTTCCTGACATACCTGGAAGGGGCGGGGGCGGGTCAGGGGCTCCAGCCGCGGGCCTGCCCCAGGGTCTTGGGCCTGAGCCCACCACCGGCGACGTCTTACCAAAGGCCCTCGTCACCCTCCTGGACCACCTCCACCACATCACCGCTTCTCACGGCAAGCGCTTCAGGGCTTTCCTTCTCATCGCCCAGCACAACCGTGTACTTCCCTGGAACCTGGTGGCACAGGACACAGTGCATCAAACAGCACAGTCCGCCCTATCCACACACCTCCCCCCACCCACCCCAAGCGCAGAGTGAGGCCGTAGCAGGAGCAGGCAAGGTCCCAGATGGGCTTCCAGCATCCAACAGGAGATAGACAATGAGTATTTCGTCAGGGCCCTGCTGTTTGTCAGGCTTCTCATGTGACTGTCACCTTAAGTTGGGAAGAGCTCCTAATCGTAAGCGGATGCCAGAGGTCTCTCACCGTGACCATGTTAAAAATCCTAACTAACGTGCAAAGTGCCCTTGGCCCACTCTTGGTGGTCTGGCTGCCCCCTCTGCTGCAGCCGGCCTCAAACACTACAAACATAGCCCTCTGCCCCAGGGCCTTTGCACATGCTGCTCCTTCTTCCCGGAGCGCCCTCCTGTCCCCGGGCCTCCCATCTGAAACGGCAGTCATCC